AAAAAAAAAAAACGGTGGTTAGCAAATTAATTAAAGGTTAGAATATAAGAAATGATGAAAAAACATAAGAATTGATTTTAAAAAAAAAAAAGTTACAAGCAAATTAAACAATGCCTTTATCGGATTATAATCTTTAATACTAATATTTTGGTTGTTCATGTGACCAATTAAGAGCTGGATTAATGCTAGGGTCTTAAAATAATGATTAACAATCTTAGAATATGATGATATATGATTATTACTCACTAATTAACAAAGCCAATATTCCTCTCATCCACTAATCCAAACAAAAAGCAGTAAATTTTACTAATTTTCTCCACTAATCTTTGATTTCTGAAGTTAATGACTAATGTTGTCCTCTAGACACTTCTCACCATTTTCCAAAAATAATAACAACTAGTACAACACTCGTGTATTACACGGGTGCTTGATAATTTTTTTCTTAAAATCTAAAATTAATGAGAAAAAAAAGTAGTTTAAAAATTTAAATCCCTTTTATAAGAATATATATATATATTATTATATATTTATTATGACACTTTTTATTTGTACAACTTACTTGTGTTATATTATACTAATTTTTTTAACTTACAATATATAACTACATTACATATAAATCTATCAATTGAAAAATAATTTTATTTTTCTAATGAATTTCAATAAATATTATTATTTTTTATTATTATAAAGATAAATATAATTTATTTATTTCATATATATACAATATGGATGTCAAATCGAAGATCATCAAAAGATGATTAATTTGATATATTATATATGTAAAACCGATAAGAAATACAAAAGTTATCAACTTTTAAAATACATTTATAACTCAATAGCTTATTGAAGGAAACAAATCAAAATTCAGGGATATATTAGTCACTTAGTACCTCACTATGTAAAATTACAAAGAATTAAAGGGTTATATTAGTAAAAGTGATATTAAAATACCTAAGTTACCTAAATAATATTTATGGAATACCCGAACCTAGATTATTAATTATTAATATATCATATTATTTATCCAAACCTAATTACAAAGCATGATTCTTCGCCAAATAGGATTCGAAGCACCAGAAGCAGCCACACGTAGGCTCAGCGCATTCGAGAATTATATATAAGGGGGATTGTAAGGAACGGAGAAAAATGAGTGTGGTACCACGTAGATGAAATGCAATAAGACAAAGAAAGCCTAGAGGAAATCTAAGTAAGATTTCATCTCAAAAACAATGCGTTGAAAAAATAGTAGCTCATTAAATTATAAATTAGACTTATTTTTTCTATATAAACAATGTGAGCCAACTTAAAAAGTGATATTCTAACAAAAATCATAGATCACCAATAATTAGATAAATTGCTTCTTTTTTTTTCCTTTTTTTTTTTATCAGAAAGACCAATTTCTTCTTAGTCAAACTAAATCTAACATTCTAGTCAACACATATCAAGTCATCTTGGACCTTTTTTTTATTTTTTATTATTTTCAA